CTTACATTTCCATACAGCTGCTATTCCAAAGCATTCCCAGGCCTTACTTTCTTTATAGGCAAGTAAAATGCACACTTTCTCCAGGCACCAGCCATTTCTGAGTTGAAACACAGCAGCTGTTCTACACTTGACAGCAATGCCACACACTTGGAAGGGCCTGCTGACAAAAACATTTGTTTTCCTCCAAGATAGCTGCATTTCAGTTTTTGATTAAGGTAGACCAGAGTAGCTAAATAGTATTTGCAGGAGCCCTTTGATGCCTTGATAGCAAGCACAAGGCAACAAAGTCTGCTCTGCAATCCATGCAGACAAAAAATTAGAACCACTGAAAGGAAGAGCAGTCTCTGTATCACAAATGTGAAACTAAGGCACAGAAGTCTGCCTGTGAAGAATACACGTAAGTGTACACTTAGGTCTTCTAAGGTTCAAGATAATCAGAAGATTAATATTCATCTTCTCCCAGAGCACCGCAGTAACATAAATCATCTCTAAATAACGCAGAATTTATTTTGATCCCCTTGAAACAGGACTGGTACATGAACTACCACACCATTTGAGGACCTGTTCCCCAAGTGGTTTTGAGAACTGCCATTGGAGTAGCTGTGTACTAACTGCCCAGAGTACAGCCGGATCTGTACATAAAGTGGAAGCTTTTAGTGACACCAATTATGCATAAATACTTCTGCATTTGAAATGGGTTTTATGACTGCCAGGTATTTCAGAGAGCACTATTCTCACATTATCTAAAATGTATACAAATACAGGTTACCCCTGTGGCTCTTCACCAAATACAGTCAGGAGACAGCACTTGCAGTAGTGTTCATTTACATATGCACATGCAGAGATCCTGCAGGCACAGCATAGAAGTCTGCTGGTGTCATCCAGCTCATTGCAATCTGGGAAACTGCCCGGGCACCTGAGAAAAGCTCAGTGCCGCGTGGGACAGCCTACTTATGAATTTCAGGTCCTTAGGCACACCATAGGTATCTCTCCATTCTTGAGCTTCCACATAGCTCCTGATCCTGCTCCCCATCTTCCAAAGCAGCTGCTTCTGGGAGGCCTGAAGAAGTCACAAATCAAGCAGTGACAGCAGGATTCCTGTGCATGGGTGCACACAGACACACTCCCCTCTACTACCTGTTGTTGACAGGGCTTGCACAGAGTGTATGATTAAAGCATTAACAGCCCATTGTAACACATGGATCAGTTCAAACTCCTCAAACGTACTGTCTCCATTTGTCTGCAGATGAGGTACCACCAATAAGGCACTGCCAGTGCCACCTGAAAAGCTTTTCCTCACACCTGTAAGTACTAAAATAAAACAATAGCTAGAAGTCTGTGACTCCAGGAGTTGGAAAGGTAGCACAGCACTAAATGGTCTACCCAGCTCTCCTTCCATGACATGCCTCTTGGCAAATTCAAGTCAGTTGTAAAAGTAACTCTTCCAATAAGGCTGAGGAAATTATTCTAACTGTGAGGAAGTCCTTCTTAGCCTACATCATAAGCTCATTACTACCTAATTTCTCCCTCAGAGGATCACCATTCACCAGTGTTTATGTGCTTCGTCCTAGGCACCAATGGAGAGAGCGCTTACTCTATACTCTGGAGTGAGCTTGCTGAGAGTAACACTGTATGTATGTGACCCAAAGTATGCGAGTTAAGTGAGTCCCACAAAATTGAATTAAAACTATGTACTTCTATCATCCAAGTGCTTCTGAAATTTCCATTCTTCTTCAGGTGTCTTAAAAACTGCTTCATTTATACTACACTGTGTACCATTTGGACATATGCATTACAAGACTATATTGTCTTTTCTTATTAAAATTATAAGATAGAAAAGCTTAAAAGCCATGTTTAGAGCTTTTTGAAAGCACTGCTGCATAATTAAACAATCAAACTTTGATTTCTGTTTTAAATTATACTTAAGATCAAAAGCATTCAATAATATATGTAAGATGTATGGATTTTTAACAGCATCCTTTAGAATGACTACAAAGCTCGAGAGGAGATGCTAGAATCTGTTGCCACCATAGTGCCTATTAAAGTGCCATGATAATAGATGCTAGTTATGATAGGCTTTTAGCCCAACTGCTAGAGAGGAGCTGTCAGTTCATGGAGAAAACAGGTTATTATAGTTGAGGGGTTTAGTGCAATAACAATTATCCCTTAATATATTTCCTTTAGATCAAGGGAAACATATTCCAGTTTTCAGTACTCTGCTAGTAATCAGAAGCAAAATCTACTACTGATGAGTTATAAAGAGCAAACAACTAAATTAAAGACTGTATGATGATATCTAAGCAGCCTGCAAGAAATGTACTGTTAGAGTACAGTACTTCAGTCAACCAAAGGTCCAGCCAAGCAGGATATTGCCCAAGAGAAAGGGCAAAGACTTGTAAGAATCTTTTATTTTCCACAGTGTCTCTTCCAGAAATAACCAAATGCTTAGCTTAAAACAAGAAAAATTCAAAATATTACTTGTCCTGATGCTATTATTGGGGCACGACGGCAGTTATTTCTGAATTCTCAATGTCCTATTGCAGGAATCATATATTTTTACGGAATAGTACCTAGCTCCTAGGGAAAAAACTGCAAAGAACCAGAAGACTGCCCTCTCACATACGGACAATGAACTCACTGTAAACCACTTAGTGGACCCTGAGGCAATAGCCAGGAAAATGCTATGTAGGTAGAAAAAAAGATATTTCAGTTACATGCAGTTTTGCTTCTGGAGAAAGGAAAAGGAGAAAACAGACAGCGTTCTGGAGGTTTTGAGGATAATCCTAGAGCCACAGCAACTGCATGGGACCAATATATACAGCAGGAACGACAGACATAGGTTTCATATCACACTCCAGTTTTCTCATTTCAATAGAGATGCAATGAAGCAGAAGAGACTGAGCTGCTCACGTCCAGGTCAGATCAGAAAATTTCTTTTACAGAGACAGAAAAAAACCCCACATTTTACACTATATCCATTTGGTACTTAATTTTGCATATTGGCCAGTAAACTGAAACACATGATTGGGAAAAACCAACATGGATTCACCAGGGGCAGATCAAGTTTAACAAATCTGATTGCTTCCTATGATGGAGTGACCCATTCGGTTGATGTGGGGCAAGCAGTGGACATTGTCTACTTGGACTTCCCCAAGGCTTTCAACATGGTCCCCCACAGCCTCCTCCTTGAGAAACTGAAAAACTACAATGTAGGTAAGTGGTCTGTGCAATGAGTGGGGAACTGGCTGATGGGCTGTACCCAGAGGTTGGTAGTAAACAGTTCATTCTCTAACTGGCAACCAGCCACAAGTGGGGTCCCTCAGGGATCACTATTGGGCCCAATGCTCTTTAATATCTTCATTAGTGATCTGGATGTTGGGATCAGGAGCTCCCTGATGAAGTTTGATGTTGACACCAAAATGAGTGAGGTAGTTGACACCCCAGAAGGGAGAGCCACCCTCCAGGAAGACCTGGACAGACTGGACGAGTGGGCTAGCAGGAACTGTATGATGTTCAACATGGACAAATGTAAGGTCTTGTACCTGGGAATACATAATCCAAGAATGCAGCCAAGACTGGGTTCCACCTGGCTAGAGAACAGCACTGTGGAAAGGGACCTGGGGGTCTTGGTGGATGAAAAGCTCAACATGAGTGAACAGTGTGCTGCAGCTGTAAAGAAAGCCAACAGGATGCTGGTTTGCATTAAAAAGAGCATCACCAGCAGAGACAAAGAAGTCATTGTCCTTCTCTACTTGGCACTGGTCGGACCACACCTTGAGTACTGTGTACAATTTTGGTCCCCACTATACATAAAAGATGTGGACAGGTTGGAAAGGATCCAGAGAAGGGTCATGAGGATGATCAGAGAACTGGAAGACCTGCTGTATGAAGAAAGGCTCAGAAAACTGGGCCTGTTCAGCCTTGGGAAGAGAAGTATTAGGGGGGACCTTATCACCATGTACCAGTACATAAAGGGTGGCTGCCAAGAAGATGGAGACTCTCTTTTCACAAGGAGTCACATATAAAAGATGAAGGGTAATGGATACAAGTTGTTTCTGGAGAGATTCTGATTGAACTCCAGCAGAAATTTTTTTTACCATGAGATCTATCAGACATTGGGATAATCTCCCAGGGGAAGTGGTAAATTCCCCTACACTGGTCAGTTTTAAGAGTCAGCTTGACAGGGTGCTGACTCATCTCATTTAAACTATATTTTACCTTGAGAGGTTGGACTAGGTGATCCTTGTGGTCCCTTCCAACCTGGTATTCTATGATTTTATGATTGCCTCATTACGGGAAAAGAGCTGGTCAGTACAGCTACATCGGTATCTGTAAATTCAAAACCTCTCAATGACATTCCTAGATATTGTCATCATGTATGCTAGTAAACTCTTAAAGCATTTTCTGACACGGGTTTGTCTTCTTATCGTTGGACAACCACAGACCTGATAAGGCAGCTGGAATATTTTAGGAACTGCTCCCAGCAGGTTTGAATGCAGACACCATCTTGTGAAATTTAAGATATTTACTAGCAGAATGCTGGCAGCTGTCATCTCAGCACCCAGATGTTTGGTTTATTCATATAATAATTCAACAATTTTTAATTCCTTCAGAGTTTAATCCCATCTCTGAAGAAAGGAGTTTTTCAGAGGTGCATAACTCAAAACATGTGGTGTTTCCTCCCAGTTCTCTGAGTGTGATAATGAAGGTGTTGAACTATTCATAAATTTCATTGCCTTTAGAGTTTTTGTGCCTGAGATTTCATTTGCATTAGTCTTATTTTACTACCCTCAGTGGCATTATTATGTTTTGAACTGGCATAACAGACAGAAAAAAATCCATATTGTTTAAATAAAGTAATAATAACGAAAAAACTTATTAGTAAAGCTATTAAGATGAAATATTAGAAATTCTCTCACGTGAAAAAGTACAATTGTTTTATAAACTCCACAGCCCAACCTGGCTTCAGGTCCCCCTACAAATCTGTTCTGGATAATTACCTTATGGATATCCTCTTTTGGGATTCCACGCAGTGTGCAGTAATAATAAAGATGCTCCCAACCTGTTAAAAGTTCATCCAGGGCATCTTGCTGTGGGCAATAGCCAATGAGAATGCCTTCGGAGCTAGCAGAGAGTATATCCATTTCAGATCTGTTGAAAGAAAAAGCAAAAGGCTTTGCAGTTTTGGTTTGGTTTGGTTTGGTTTGGTTTTTTTTGGTTTGGTTGTTTTTGTTTTTTTTTTAAACCACAGCCCTGGGTTTCACCCTTGGAATGCAGAGTCTTCAGGACAAACACACCCTCAACTCCGTAGGTAAATGAGCTTGAGTCTCTTTGTTACGATCTCTTACCACCCACATGCAATGCATGCTTTTTGTGCCTTTCAGATTAGCACTGCTATGCATGTGTCACTGTTCTAATGAGGTAAGTGTCAAGGAGAACAGGTCAACACAGGAGGAGGAGAGATCTGTGAATATTAATTCTTACCAAGTTTACCTCCCTTATCTCTTTGGTAGACCCTGCTCTAAGGAGACATATTTCAAAACCATACCATGTACATCACATTCAATATTAAAGGGGCAGTAGTTGAGAAACAGAAAGGAAAATGTTGCTGCTTATTCTTTGTGTGTCTGTGCACACACATACACATTCATGCAAACAAGAGTAAAACAAAACACAGAGTATTGAAGCCTAGTAGGTTAAAGACAATACACCAAAAAATATATTTTTTATAATATCTAAGAGGCTTTGGTCATCACTTTGTAGCTGTACAGCATTACTTGAAGTTACATTCATTGCTAAGAAGCAAGCTTGATTGCAAAGGTGTCTTATTACCCATAATGACACTAAATCTATCCTATTTATTCCAACACCTAATTCAACATTCAATGCTGCTGATTTACAGGTACAGAAAAGACCTGTCAAAATTAAGATACTTAATAAAAAAAAACTGAGCTTTGAAAGAAAAAAGTTTTTAAAAGATTCTGAGTAGCAGAATGTTTTTTTCCTCGTTGGTTTTCTACATTTCTGGTTAAGAGAACTAAATATATGATTAATCATTTAGACACAAAGTAATTGTATTAAATGCAGGATCTACAAATAACAGCATTAGTGAAATTATAAATATGCATCTCCTGTTAAGATTCAGGAGTCTGGGGAGAAAAAGAAAACACAAATTCTGCATTTTACATAATGAACCACAGCATCAAAATCTATTTTTATGCTATCAAAAGATAAATTATCATGATTATGACATGCCTTGCTGGGAACTAATTAGAATGGTCCTTTGCTCTTAATGGCAAAGATATAAAATTGTAGTGTCTTTGTAGATATGGACGGTGCCAAGGAAGTTAACTGCCTGTAGACATCTCTCTACACAAAGACTTAGCAAAAAAGAAAAGGGGTGATAGGAGAAAAAGAATCCCAGAAGTGTACTTCCTCATAAATTTATATCCACTTATAGGTTATTTTAAATGAAGTATATACAGAATTTTTACCAGCTCAGTTTCCAGCCATACCTAAATCAAATTAAATTCTTTTTAAGGTCATCTTCACTTTAAGATATGGATAGATGAATGTTGATCATTTTGCATAACTTGTCAGAAGCAGTGGATTCCTTATTTAATGAACTCTGACATAGTGAAACACTATACAGAGTCAAACGCTATCTAGATGCTGCTGAACACAGAGAGATGTGTCTAAGATTCATTTTACTAGGAAGATTCAGGCACACTAATGAGGTTTCCTTTTGGTGCAGCTGCTGTCTTCGGAGAAATGAGAGACTGGGCTTTTGGTAATATGCCAAGTTCACTCACAAGAGAACAAATCACACTCAGGGGTAATTTCAGGGACATTTACTCAGCATGAACCCTGTAGCTGGACAAACACATCAAGAGTCTGGAGCAGGTCCATGCCATGAAGAACAAAAAATAAGCATGCATAGCTGCAAAAAATAACAGACAACTAATGTTCTTTAGCTAGAACTATATTAGACGATAGTTACTCAGTTTGCATCAGGAAATAAAAACACATCAGTGTCCCCAGTGCTAATTGTACAGACAGGATTTTAGTGTTGTGCCTCCCATAAAGCATACAGCCTTAGATTAACAATATCCCACACACTGACCTTTAGCTTTCATAAAGGAAGAGTACAGTGAGAATAGATCATTTAATATTCTTTTTCAGTTTAGTCCTATCTTGCAAATGTATCCATTAGTGCTGACCTTGAACACTTAAAGAGTTCCCATTAATGAAGGGGCTCAATATATTCACTAAAGAACCCATGCAGCTATTTTTTTTTCCATCTCTGTATCTGTCAAAGCAAAAAACAATCTGTCCAGAAGAAAAAAAAAAAGCCATGTGAGGATTCTGGTCTTTTATTGAGACTTTTTCGATATATATATTAAATACCTCCTTTTCCCTCAGCAATATCACTGAGTAGATTTCCAATTCAAAAAGCTGGAGATCATCCTTCAGGTTTTTTTTAGCCAGCTCCTAAGCTTTTTCTGAATACTGAAAGAACAGATGAAAAACACAGCTTAATTTTTAATTATACTACATATCTTACAACAGAAAAATGCCCTCATCTCTGGAAATTGATTATCTTTGAAATTCAGTTAATCTCTCAGATTTCATTTTCATGGATCTAAATGAAATGAATGTTTCAAGTACTGATGGCATGATACCACAAAACCTTTTGACTAAATTATATACTATAAATGTTTTCTTCATTTTTTAAAATTCTGATCCCATTCATTAAACTAATTATAATCCTCTTCTTCCTTAACAAACATCTTCCTATATGATGCTATCAGAATCAAATTTGGATCTTTTTTTAATATTTCTGAAATATAGATTAGCATGCAGCAAAATACTGTTTTTTTTCTCCAGCTAGAGAAAAACAGACGTTTATTTTCTGCCGTTTTATTATCAGCATGCTAGCATTTCTCATTAGGTTATTCATATTATCAATAGGACACACAGAAAGAAAAAAATTAACTTCTATTTTTAATAAAGAAAGGACATTTAAGTACAGATTCCAACACCTCTCAGCCTTTTTGTCTATAGTACAGTAGACACAATGAATTCCAGTGTGACAACTAAAAACTGTAGGCAGGAAACCAGACTTTTGCACTAACACAGGACTTTTCGTACCATCATAAAAACAGCAACATAATTGCTATCTTTTACTTTGGTTATGCACCTTGATCAAGTTAAGGCATAGAACTAACATGAAACATGAGTTTTCTCCTTCCTATTGAAGACTTAATTTTTAGAGTATTTTGTTATGCTTATTCAATACTCCTACTTACTCTTTCATTTTTCCTTTAAAGTGGAACAACTGCAACAGATTAAACCAACAGAACATGTCCAGAAAACTTTGTATGTTAAAAAAAATTTTAAAGTTGCAAAATTACCGTTCTAGTACACTTTTGGAAAAGGTCAACAAAATGTATGGCATCCTCAAGAAAAATAGCACAGTCTATCACTTGAAGCACAGAAGATATTGTATTCTATCCTAAGTGCTTAGGTCTCCATTTATACAGTAGGAATTATGATACTTAAGTGCAAAACATCCTGAAAAAAATCGAGGACTCAAGGAGGCCTCCATGAGTTTGGAGTGCTCACCTTACAGAGTTTTGAACTAGCTATGAAAGAAACTTGCCAGACTTGAAAGGGAATAAAAAAGTCTGAGTGAATGAAATTTTTTACTCAAAGTTGTTCCTCCACTGATCATTTTAAGGCCTTTTACATGGATCCATTTCTTTCATGGGTTGAAGCAACCCCTGAAATCTGATGCCAGCTCTGAAGGCAACACTGGGGGAGCATGGTGCCTCTGCTGGTCCTGAAAAGAAACCCAAATACTGGAACGAGCAAGAATGTTCTTGGACAAAAGCTGTTGCCTTCTCCCACCTGAACTGGACCTGTTGTTTCCAGAAGGCTAGGCTGGTTATTGCAGAGACTGGATTTGGTTCTTATTTGTTACAGTGATTACCAGCAACATAGCTTATAGCTAACTGTGGGCTAACATGCAAGGTACACCTCAGTTTCAAGTTCCAGAGACAACTTAGTACCCTCAGTATCAGCCTAATGGTTGATTTTGGAAAAAGTGTTTTACTATTGACTCCACTGTGCACTTTGCTTCACTTTTGTATGCCTTTTCTGTAATTTTTGAATGCAGTTAAAATAAAGGCAGTTATATATATGGTACTTACAATGGCTTCTGTAGAGAGAGAAATTCCATTAATTAGTCAAAATGAAATAAAAATTTGCAAATTGCAAAGGTAGTTAGACATTCTATTGTACTTTTAATTGCACATTCAATTCAGTGCACACTAAAGCTCAATTAACATTCTAAAAATCAAGGTTAAAATATAATTAATGTAACTATAGCTTAGTTATAATTAAACTAATTATACTGATATACAGTGTAACAACAGCTATCTCAGCCATTATATTGATGTAAATTTATTCTGCCTTTCAAGTAAAGCTATTTGAATTACATTTTTAATTATTTATCCAGCTGAATATCATAACTATCAAAAGAGTCCAAGTTCTATCAATAAAGAAATATTTTACTTTCCCCTCTTTGGAGAGCAGTTTTTTGGTCTTATGACTTTGTAATCCAACAGCTAAGATGACTGACACAATTCAAATAGGATGGAGATTTGCTGTCATGAAGGGTGTCTCTGTGCAGAAGGAAGGTGGAAATTCATGGTGGATAAATAAATTAAATGAGGAAGATTGCCAACTGTTTCAGGCCTCAGTGTGGCAACCTATGGACAAGACGACATCCAGCTTATCTATTGCTTCCTCTATGCACCCTATCACAAGTGAGACTTTGTTAAGTCTGAACTTAAAGTCAACTCTATTCAGCAAAGTACAATGGCAAAGACTGCAAAATAGAGAATGTCAAAAAGGCAAAAAAAATTAGTCACATTATTTGGTTTTTTTACACTGTTCTTGACATGACATTTAAAAGAATTTTGACACTTTCTCTTCCAAGAGACACAGAGTCACTGAAGAAGGTTTAGACACAAATATGAAAAGGGAAAGAAAACAAAGAATGGCTGACATACATTCTAAAAAACCCAAAAAGTAGAACAGGTGTAGAATATCCACTGATATATCAGCACATCAGAGATTCAAAGACTATGAGGACGCACTTTGTTCTCCTTTGTTTTACCATTTTGTTAAGTGTCAGCTTTTCTTAGTACATATTTAATACAGACCTTACTTCTCAAGCTATTTGACAGAAGAAGTAACTACAAAAATGATCACAGTTTTATACACTAGCTTTCATTTAGCCTGCTCACTATCAGAGATAATGTCTCTATGGATGCTGCCTTATGACATAGATTTTAAACAAAGTCGTCTAGATCTGCTGACCAGCAAATAGCCTGCAGCTGTGACCAGCAATTTCTTTCTTCAGTTGACTCTTCTCTCCTCCTCTGTGCCAGGAATACCAGGTCTTAAAGCACTTACTGGAGTAAGAAAAGGAGAAGACTCCTTACCATAATATTCCCCCTTCCTTCATTTATCTGAGGTGTAAATACAAATCAATCCACCTAAAAGTCCCTTGGATTAGTAAATTTAGTCATTCTTCAACTGTTGTGGAAGGGTTCTCCAAACCTGTCGTGGTTATAATCTTACCTATGGAAGAATGAACAAATTTTCCCCCTAGGGATTTTCAGTAGTACAACAACACAGTGCACCATGAACTCCTTAACAGCAGTTGCCAAAATATGAAGGAACAAACTCAGGAATGACATAAATCTCTTCTCCCAGCCTCAAAGTTGTTTGTTTCCCCAAGTTTAGCTACTGTGTAACTCCACTTCTTGCTTGAGGTTGTCTTCTCAAGTTAGTGATAAGTTTCTAAGACTTGGGAATATGAGTTTTACACTCATTCCAGCCACTTCAAAAAATATAAAAATCCATAACCTGGGTTGACATCAGATTATACAGTGTGATAATTAATGTTGTCAAAGGTACTTGACATTGCGTCAAAGGTGCTTGACATTGTGTCAATGTTTTGCACACTTAAATGCAAATGTCTAAGGTGTCCTCTCAAAGCCTCCTAAATGTGTCAAATTTCATTACCTATGTTTCAGTATATGGTAAACAACATTGCATCTGAAAGTATGTTTTCATGTTGGATTTATAAAACAGAGTAGGGGAAATGAAAGTAGCACACATGATGTGCAGGGGGAGCATTTAACCTATTGTTAAATGCCAGTAACATACTAAAGTTGACCTTAGAATAATTTTTATCTGTTTAGCCACAGGTACATGACAACACATCTAGTAAAGCATTCTAATACAGTTTTGTGATTTTTTTGAAAAGTTATCTCTAGGGGTTATGACAAAATAAGTCATGTAGTCAATAAACTTGGTCTAATCACCAATACATGTGATGATGAAATATATTCCTATAACTTTATATTTGTTTTCAGTTGGATATTAAAATTTTGGAATTTCCACATCAGATCAAATAATTTGCCCAAATACAGATGTACTACATCATACAGGGAAAGCCATATGAAATCCATGAATGCACAGGTGAAACCAAAGGCAAATCCCATTAAAATCTATAGAAAAATACGCTTCAAATTCTAAACAAAACCTCGGCGGTTAAATACTGCTCTGAGGACAGTGTCATGTGAAAAAATATTACAGATTATTTTATTTCTGTAAATCTCAGATGCTTTATAGATCCCTGCTAAACTTCTGACCTCCATGATATCCTAGTATTCCACCAGTTCCAAAGAACACCACATGTTAATTTTAACCTAATTTTAAATCACTTTTATTATTTTTATTGTTGTTGCTGCTTAATGTCTGAAAATGTTTGTCTTCTGGGAATTTATAAATTAAAACCACCATTTAAAATCTTTATAACCATTGTAAAGCCTCACTCATATCAGTTCTTATTCTCTTAAGAGTAATTTTTCCAAAATCTCTTAAATCAATCCTTCTTCAGGATTAACAATTATTCGATGGACATTTTAGAAGTTCTTTGTTATCAAATTATTTTTATACTGAATCTCTTAGAAAAAGTTGGTATGACAGATAATGAAAAAATAAAACAGAACCTACTTAAGTAAAATCACATTTGGTAGTGGTGATATTGTCCATTTCAAAAAAAAGTGTAAACTTGAAAGAAAACTAAATTTTGCAATGTCTGAAACTACTTGCATTTTGAAGTTAAATCTGCTATTCATTATCTTTGTAAAAAAGTGAACAAATACTGACCTATGAAAACATTTAATTTCTGAAACAAAGTAATGTAACTTGTCATTTTGGAAAATCCAAAATGCTTCCTTTAAAAACTTTCTGGATTAAACCCTTCATCTGTTCTTCTCCAAAACACATATTTTGAAATAAACATCATTAAGGAAAAGAGAAGTTTTAAAATTGTTAAATAGCCCAGAATACGTTTACATGCACACATACAAATTTTACTTTAGCATCACTAAAATATTACTTTACTTCCCCTCCAATTTTGCTGGGAAAAATGGTAAATATTGGTTACATCTAATCCAAAAAGTCCGTTATTCACTTACCACTCCATCAAAGTCAACCTCCATATCACCAATACTACCTCCTCACTCAATTACATAGCATATTGATCAAGCAATTAATTAATGACTCTGAAGGACACAAGTATCAGAAAACATTTTAAAAATATCCACTTGAAGCACTGCTCATCAGTATGAGCGTGGAAACCTTTCCATGCAGCATTAGTATGGGGGATATATGTCTGTGCATCGGGACATATTATATGTTAAGATTTTTGTTACAATTTTGAAAGGCTGTATGTTAAGGTTTCCTAGAACCTACTCATTTTACTCATTCACACAAGTTTCTTCTCAATTAACAGAGCTGTCAGATGGAAATAAATAATGCTAAAGTGCTTTCCTGCAGAGACTTAACAGCAATAAAGCAATATACATTTAAAAGGGTATAAAACAGGTCCTTAGAGTACAGTACAAAGGACTAAAGACGTGCTGAGTCTTTGATCATTGACATTATCTATTAGCACTCTTCTGATCAAACTGCGTTATTTACCCTGTAGGAGTCCTGATAACAGCACGTCCTGCAGATGGGGTGATATCTCCAGTCAGCATCTTAAATGTTGTGCTTTTCCCAGCTCCATTTGTTCCCAGGAGTCCAAAACACTAAGAGATATTAAAATAAAAATAAAAATTAAAAAAAAAATGCAAGCAATCTGTTATGCTAAAAGAATAAGTAATATCAGTTCTTCAACAGTTTCTCCCCTTTGTATATTTCCTATCATATGGCTTCAAGATACTCTATATGTACATACTGTATGTGCAATTTCCTTTCCCACAGAAAATATGTTTTCAAAAAAAATATATATAATATTTTGATTACCCCCTAATTCCTAAAAGTGACTTATTTAGGATTCTATCTCTCCACTTAAAACCCTGTCCAGTATCTAAAAGCATTATTTATCCATATTTTTAGCAAATGCTAGATTTGAACCTGCACTTTAAAACCCCCAGGATTAGCATATTCAGTCTTAAATTTCAGTTTATTATAATAGTGTATTATCGGCTATATTAAAATATACTGTGATGATTTCAGCATGGGAACTACAAGTTTGCCTTGGTGACAAATTCAGGATTCAGTCCACAGTTTACAGTTGAGCTAGGTATTCTTTGCTTTCTCTTGGGATATTGAACTGCTATGCTACCTACTTTATTTTTACGTTAGCCTATGAAACAGTAACTTGGTAAAGGTAAGCAAGAAGAAAAAATTAAGACTGATGAATGTGTAACCCAAAAAAGTAAGTGAACAGTTTTTCTGTAAACATCAGCAGAGCTTCTGCTTTTATCCAGTTATCGATTTTCAGAAATTACTACCATTGAAATTGTTCTGCTGCTATCTACAGATCTTTGATTGTAGGCATCCTGAGCGTGTCTGAACAACTGCTCAGAATGAAGTGTTATTTTATGAAAGGAAAAAAAGATCTCTTTACCTCTCCCCTTGGTATTCCTAAGCTTATGCTTTCCACAGCTGTGTTTTTCTTACTGAAACCTCCATAACACTTCCTGAGGTTGTACAGGAGAAGGACATCATTACCAGTTCTTCCACCAAAGAGTCGCTGTCGCTCCATTTCTACATCAAAATCTTCTGAAGGGCTGACCATGCTGTTAATTGAACACTGACTCCTAAAACAGAAGATGATAACAAATGACACATGGCAAATTGGATATTGCTGTACTCTGTCTGGATAACTCTGTTTTATTTCCCTTGTTGCAATCTCTTGAAGTTTCGTGATCAAATCTCAGTAGAATCCAAGAGAAAGTGCAACCACTTGTATTTTTTTTTTCTGCAGTTTCCACTAATTCAGGTATATCATGTTATCAGAAGTATTTATCTTCAGGTGTTCAAATGAATCCATCACTTTTTTCTTTAAAAATTAGTTCAGTGTCCACTATGGCAGAATAAAAATGGTAACACACCTTGGTTTCTGGAGGAGATCCCAATGAAGAAAAAGCCGTAAAAGAAGAAGTAGTGTTCCTTGCAGGGCAATTTCCACAAAAATCCACCCTAGGAAATTCATCTCAAAGGGGCTCACATATGAATCTATTCCAAAGTTGCTGGTCAGGTCAAACTTGATTTGATTGTACGAAAGCTCTATTAAACCCTGGCCTAAGCAGAACTGTGGGAATATGATGAATGCCCATTTGAGGATATTGTAGATGTTCTGAAAACTCTGTATTAAGATTCAGCAAGGGAAGGGGAGGGGAGGGGGAGAAAAAAAAGAAAAATATTAGCTTTCTCCAATAGCATATTAAGCACACTTACAAAGCTTGACACAGTATTCAAATCTCACTCAAGGTGAACTGTTTTCACAAGAGCGTATTGTGAACTATTTTTGGGGCAGGGTTTAATTCTTGCTGTATTTTAGAGTGTCTAAGGCCATGGGATTCTAACTTTATTTGAGGTTCACAGATAGTAACAAAACACATATGGCCATGATCATTCTATTTTATTAAAATTTTAATATTTGAATGCTATTAAATCTAAATCCCAACCTTAAACCAAAGTCAACACCAAATCTGCCTCCAGACTTGACTGATGTGAGATCCAGATTTGACTGTAAACATCAAGTTTTTAATCTGGTACATGCATAGATATTCATACATATTCTGAATCTCCTCTCAAGTTGCTTAATTATCATTACGACTAATGAAAATTCCATACATGGAGTGAAAATGCATATTGCTATTCATACAGGGCATTACAGATCCTAGGAATATGCAGCTTATCTCTTATGTCAATATTATTCAAACACATTTTACAATGCATGTAATCTATTAAGTGGACCAGAACAGCTCCCATTATGTGCCAATTACAACTTAATGGTCTGGAAAACGTAAAGGTTTCAATTAACACTGGTTTTGCATTATTACAGCACTTTTTTTTTCTTTTATAAACAAGCTAAAATTCAAGATGGTAACAAGCAACACAGTATACACTAGGACAGAAAAATCACAAATGTTTTAAACATAAGATTTTCTGCTTGAAAAAATATTTTCTGTGCATATGTATCAGCATATATATACACAAACATATACATGCATACACATGTGTGCATACATCTCACTTGTGAGTAATGTAAAGCAAAGGTTTTATACTGACCTGCACTTTGGAAATTATAGCTAACAAACGAGGTAAGAGAGTCAGCAGCATGGTACACAGACCAAATACAAAATTTAAGGAAATGTAAGAAATAAAAGCTACATCTGAACTTGAGAAGAATCTGGATACAAGATACATCCATGGCAAAGTTGCATATCTGAAAGTTTAAAGAAAAAAAATTACTACAAATAAGTCATGTTTTGACCTCAGGGAAAAAAAAAAGAAATAAAAAAGGAAAAAGAAAAAGGCAATTAACATACTACAAAAAAAACCTCAATAGTTACTCCTTATTTTTAAGATATGCAAAGAAGTCGTTTAACCAACTGGAAAAAAGGGATATTTGGGGATATATTTTCTTTATCAAATTACCTTATGATTGTTATGATAATGCTACTGCCATGTGATGGGAAGATATGATCCATCTTTGCATATATCAACTGCATATGTTTATTTCACTGTTCCAGAAAGTTCACAACTCTGATGTCTGAATGATTGAAAAACCATGCATCTTTACAAGCCTCTTACACAGAAATAAAATTAAAACCATATAGTTGAATTTTAAGTCATGGATGCTGAGCAATTAGCTTTTCTTAGAGGCTTTCACAGAAAGCAAAAAAAAAAATTAAAAAAGGAAGGAATGAGTAGAGAGAAAAAAAGAAAACAAAATAAAAAAAACACACAAAAAAGCACACAAAAATATATATATAAGAAAAAACCATTAAACCTTGAACTGGAACTAAAATTTGTGCCAGTGGTATTTGAGAACTGCAACTTGCCAGAGATCATGTTAGTATTCTTCTTACCTAAAATATGTTATCAGTGAGTGGAGTAGTTGAAAATGAAAGCATAGTTAGTTTATAGCACAACCATGATAAGACAGCATGTCTGTGGCTACATCATTTTCAATGCAAATCTTTAAAGGAGGAGGGAAAGTACCCTCCATTCAGGCAAGTCAAATGATGCCTATCCAAACTGGAGCAGTCATATTTTTTATTAAGAGTAAGATAAGTCAAGGTAGACTAAAAAAAATATCCAGGCCAGTTAACGAGCACGAATATCATGTAAAGGAAATTTATTTTCCATAGAACATAGTGCAAGACTTATCTATCAAACATTATATAGACTGCAGGAGCATAGGTATCAGCATACATCATTGCATGATGTTAAGTATATATGTAGTATGTATATAGAGTTGTATATATAAATACTTCTTATATAGTAATAATATATCTATATATAATTTTTTACTAGTGAGGTCAAAGCAAAAGTAACTAGCCAAAAATCTGTGAATTTACTTCTTCATTGCATTAAACAGTAGCTTAGATTATGAGCCATAAAAGTCCCTTTTGAATTCAGTACAGAATCCCAGAATGGTAGGTGTTGTAAGGGACCTCTGGAGATTCTCTAGTTCAACCCCCTGCCAATGCAGGGTCACCTACAGCAGGTAGGGACAGTATCACTCCAGGCAGGTTTTGTATTTCTCCAGAGAAGGAGACTCCACAACCTCTCTGGGCAGCCTGTTCCAGTGCTCTGTCACCCTCACAGTAAAGAAGTTTTTCATCATGTTGAGCTTGAATTTCCTGTGTTCTAGTTTGTACCCATTGCCCCTCGACCTCTCACAGGTCACCACTGAAAAGAGTTTGGCTCCATCCTCCTTACACTCACTCTTTAGATATTTATAAGCATTGATAAGATCCCTTCTCAGTCTTCTCTCCAAGCTGAGCAGATCCAGCTCTCTCAGCCTTTCCTCATAAAAGAGATGCTTCAGTCCCTTATTCATCTTTGTAGCCCATCACTGGACTCTCTCCAGTATTCCCATGTCTGTCTTGAACCAGGGAGCCCAGAACTGGACATAGTACTCTATATGTGAGTACATCTGCTGACAACACTCTTCTTAATGCACCCCAGGACACCATTTGCCTTCTTGGGCTGCAAGGGCATATTAATGGCTCATGGTTAACTTGTCCACCAGGACTCCCAGGTCCACAGAGCTATTTTCCAGCAGGTCACCCCTTAACCTATACTGGTGCATGGAGTTATTCCTCCTCAGGTGCAGGACTCTACACTTGCCTTTGTTGAAATTCATTAGGTTCCTCTCTGCCCAACTCCCCAGTCTGTCCAGGTCTCGCTGAATGGCAGCACAGCCTCTGGTGTACCAGCCACTCCTCCAGTTTTGTATCATCAGCAAACTGGCTGGGTACGCTCTGTGCCTTCATCCAGGTTATTGATGGATATGTTGAACAAGACTGGACCCAGTACTGACCCCTGGGGAACACCACTAGCCACAGGCCTCCAACTAGACTCTGCACCAATGGTCACAACTTTCTGAGCTCTGCCATTTAGCCAGTTCTCAATCCACCTCACTGTCCACCTATCATTACAGATGAACCTTTTTCATCTAAGAATGCCAAAACCCTTCACCTTAAGAAACAAACTTTCAAAACCTGCTGTGAAATAATAGGATGTTATCGACAGATTACAGGAAGATAAAGGTTAAATGACTTAATGTTTGGGTCTCAAATTAAGATTTTAAGTATTCAAGATTACTCTCTACTTTTCAGCATCCTGTTTCCAGTCTGACACAATCTTTTCTTCACTTCATGCACATACCAAAATCACTGTTCTAAATTTTGTTCTGAATTACAGTACCGTAAATACAAGACAGGTCCATCCTTGGAAGCAGCTTAGGAAAGAGACATGATTTAGAGCATTATTACTCTGCTCTAAATGAAAACAAAATTTGATTTGTTTGCTTATAGCCACTAAGAAATGAGTAAGACTTTCAGAATACTAAAGTTGCATGATGTGTAAGCACAGCCTTTAATGTAGCTGCCAGTTACGCCTACATTTCTATCCTATCTTTATTTTCCTTCAGCTTCAGCTGTAATGTGTTTTTTTTGTAAGTATCAAAGGTAGAGCATTTTGGACAAAAGTGCTTAAGCAGTTGCACTATAAAACAATTCTGCTATCAGAAAAAAGATGAAAAAATACAGTTTAGTTAAGAGAACATTATATTTTTAAAGGAAAACAGTTTTAAAGTAGCACACTAGGAAATTGTTGACTATTCTTTCAAGCACGCTCCGTTCTGGCACATAGCTTGACATTTTCATATAACTGGGCTATTTTTATCTTTATTCTAGATCAGAAATTCTGCGCAAGTGTACCCTGAAGAGAAAAATATAATTTTAAAAGGAAAAAATGCATTCTGGAATGCAAATAAATGAGAATTACATGCACAGTACTGGGGAAGGATAAAATGACCAGAATAAGCTTCATCACATTTACTGTGTAGTTATGCTGAGTAAAGGGTAGAATAGGAAAAGTGGCAACTCAGAAATTTCTCAGTGTGCTTGAGACATGTAAAACTGACTGACTGTCCTTATTTCTTTAATACATGTTAATACTCATTGAATACATAGACCCTCTTGTTAAAAATCACTATAGTATCTGTTATATAAGCCAAAGCTGAACAGTACAGGAGGGAATATGATGAGGTGATTAAGCTACCTCTGCAGTCAACAAAAACATTCTCAGAAGACATTCCAGCTTTTCAGCTAATGGTTGTTTCTTCTGAAATATCCAAACTTTAACTCCACATTATGGTTAAAGCAATGTTATGGTTAAAACATAGCTCTTAGCACTTGGAATTGAGTAGTACACTGTGCGCAGGGCCAAAACCTACAGCATACCACAGAAAACATGTCATGACTTCAGCAGGCATACAAGTAGGTATTGTAAAATTCATTTGCTTCTTGACTAAGGTCTCTGTAGATGGCTCTTCTTACACTAGGATCACAGCAACTGGATTAGAAGAAGGATTCAACAATTGTAAAGATAATTAAGAAAAACAAGGATAAGATTTATTAGTGCCCTAAGACTGATAACAATTTCTGCCTTTAACCTGAAGGAATCAATTGGTAGTAGTGCAGAAGGAAGGAGGAAGAAGACAATAGTAAAAAAAGTATGAACCTTAGATGTTTCATCTGAGTTATTTACAAGATCATAGCATCGTGATGTCTAGAATATTACATGCTAGTTTGGCCACTCATGACCAGGAAAGATGAGCCCAAACTGGAGTTATAGGTAAAAATGAGAAATAGAATTATTCAGGGAATGGGAATGCCTTTTTACAAGAGAGGACTTGGCTTGTAAAAGATGTTTGATGAGGAAGAATTATGAAGTATGGCTCCAAATAAGCTCAGGTTGGAATTTCAAAGAATACATCCAGCTATGGAGATGCTGAAACAATTTTCCAAAAAAAGGAGTTGCTGAGGGCATGAGGTCTTGAAAACAATTTCAAGATGAAATACAGTGAAGGGTTTTTTTTCCAATGTTTATCTGAGACTCTTCCTGGAATAGAACATGTCCTGATCTTGCAGAAGTTTTTTTCTGTTTTCCTGTGATTCTGTCAAGGACTGGTTATATTTCATTATCTAAACATGTGTCTCATAGGATATACATTCACCCCTACAAAGATAGCAGCAATTAGCTGCTTGAAATAAGGAAGAAACGTCTTCTCAGAATGCTTATCCTTTAACCATTTTCAGGATTTCTCACATCACTTGGGCCTGCACATAGGAAGAGTTAAAGGAACAGGATAGACAGACCATTAGTTTGAGCCCACAGCCTTTTACTATAGAGAAGTCAATCCTCTGTTTAACCAGTTGTTTCAAATTTTTATGACTGTTTTTTAATGTGAAAATAAACAAGAGAGTGATATGGGAAGACCTTCCTCTCTTGCAGTAGTATTTGGACACAGATCTCCAACCATCCCACTCTACATTGGACAGACTTCTTACTGGAAACATAAATTCCTGGAGCTAAGTAAAATCACAGGAATTATAAAATCGGTAGAACTGTAATGAAAGACAGCCACTTCTCACCTTCTTGATGATATTCTGCACAGCTAAACACTGAAATTCTGACCTATGTTATTATTCCCTCATTTTCTAGAAGATAACATATAACCAGTATCTAACAGCAAATGATTGTTATACAGGCTGAGTATTTTCTGAGACATTTCCAGTCCTTTTCTTTTTGTCCCTTTTTTTTGTTTTCTTTTGAATGTGTGAGTAAATCTCCCTTTACCTTCCGCGTGGAACTTTCAGACTCATGTTTCAGCCTGTTTTCTCACTATCTTTTGCTGAATCATAATCATTTCCGAAGAAAGAAAATCATGCATCCAGCAGCAGGTGAAAAGCAAATCTAAAGATTTCTATTTGTTTCTTACAAGCTATAATTCCATAGTAGCATTTCCAATCACATACCCAAAGAGTATCAGCAGGAGAACAGTGGCTGCCAAGTTCTTTCGGAAAGTGAAGGCTGATAGTTGGAAGGCACTAATAACACCAACACACAGGGTGACTGGAACCATGTAAAACACCTAGAAACAGGAGAAAAAAGGCACGTAGCAGGTGAACATCTCTTACTGGTCTTACTTAATTAGCATAGAAGAGCTCTACAAATTAACTTTTCCCATATTTGCAATATAATTACACTATAAATTAGGAAGAATTAGGCAGAAGACCTCGGAGATTTCATAGTCCACACTTGCTGTGAAACAGCCCCTCTTACATATATACACTTGAAATAGCCTGACAAAATAAAATCTGACTACAGATTATTCCCCTTAATTCCATTTCTATTGACCTTTTCAATACATCCATTTAACAAGCTAACTCTTCCAGATAATGAGTCCATATGGGACTATTGCTCCAAAACATCAAATTATATTGTGAATACAGAGTCTTGGATTCAGAAATAGCGGTTTCACTGGTTAGTGTTTCAGTCATAGGAGACTAGTAAGGACACAATTTTAAAAGAGACTTTAATGAAGGACCATGTGTGCTGATGAAGCAAATGACAGCTTTTAATAGGAACAGACAATATTTAGAAGAGTTAGAGCCATTAGGAAACAGGGAAAGCAGTTTCTCTGTTTAGTCTCTTGACATAAAGGTAACCAAATACTTAAGAGGGGGAGGGTGGGATTGGTGGAGGGGATTCATATCCAGGTATTCAAGACAGACAGGTTCTGCTTGCAACTAGCAAAGGCAAGATGTGAAAATCTGTGCTCAGTTCCATTCTCAGTTTCTGCCTACTCTGTGCATTGAAGCTGAGCTCACTAAGGCAGTGACTGCCTTCATTTCTGCTTATGTAATATTTAATCTTATCCTAATACAACTGAGATTCTGTGATGCCACTGCAACAGAGGCAACAAATCAATGTTTAGCAAAATGTTCAGTGTAGAACAATATCTTACTGTTAAAAATTGAACTTTAACATACTGAAATACAAAGCGAACCTGTTCAAAATTAAACCAGAGGGCATCACTTCTTTACCAATGGGAACACAGACTTTTTTCTAAGAGAAGGGAATTGGAGTGAAATGTAGACAGATGTTTACAGTGTACCTTATTCAGTGTCATATACAAATATCATAACATACCACTCCAGAGATTTAGGTTTCAGTTATCCTGGAGGTGTTTAAAAAATATGGTAGAGAAGTCACAAAGCATCTGACTCCCAGTATGTTTCAGCAGACCTGGGACTATTTCTTTATAAATAAATAAATAACTTTAAACATTAAACTCTATTAGAAATCTTACCCGAAACCATGGCATGTTACAAAAGTTGGGCATGCACAAATAAAATAACCTTAATTTTGCCTCTCTAGTGATACAAGCTTAATCAAAAAAAAATTTCTATTTATCATGAAATTTTCTTAACATATACATTTTCATTTGTTGAACAAAGTAAATAATACCATTCACATACATAAATACAGTAAGAACAGCCTGATTCTCAAGACAGCAGTTTCATAAATCAAATACTTCTGCAGTTCTAGTAAAGATTATGTTACCAATAGTACAGGACAAAGCTTGTAATACTTTAAAAATATGTTGAGGGATTTCAAATTTGGCAGTTCATATATTAATATGTCCACTGTCCCTAAGTGATCTGCAGAACAATTAGCATTTAAAGCAGTGCCTGTTCTTTCCCAGACCATGACTGATCATGCAGTATTGTGCTGAATTTGTGAGAACATTTTGAAAGGAAGAAATTGGCAGAAAATAATGAGTTGACTTTGCTGCACAACGAGAAACTGAATGATGATGGATTGAGTTTTTAACCAAGCCCTCCTATTTGACATGGCAGAAAAAGGAATTCAAAGATTGACTGGCCAAGTAAATAACGTTTGGAGAAACGTGCTCTTACTTCCTCAAGCTTGCTCAAGTGTAAAAGTCCTGATTTCAAACATGGATGGGTGAAGCTGTAATGTTTCAGATCTAGAATAGTCTGAATGAGGACAGAGAGCATTCCAAAAATCTCTATTCTTGACCAGGCTAGTTCATGTTTGTATTGCCTATGCTAGATCACAGCCCTTCTTTCCATGACCCAGTTTGTTAAGCAAGATGCAGAAAGTTCATGTCCCTTCTCTGGGGCCAGGAATCTTTTCATTTTTGAATAATCCAGGTGACTCCAATTGTTCATTATTGCCTCTGAAACAATCTCCCAATCCAAAAGACCTTCTTTGAGAAGTGAACTATCAACACACAACACTCTAGTTCTTTGAAAACAGTAATTCTAGCCCTTTACCATAAGTAGATGACTAAATCTTAAATTCCTGTCACTCAACTGATACTGTAGCAAGCCTTTTCACAAGTGAACTATGAAAATGCTTTTCAGTAGGGGACATATATGTATGCCTTACATACACACACACACACTCACATATATACACACACATATATAATGGAGCATTTTTAATTTTAGTTTTTAAAGAGTCACCTTTGCAAAAGATATTTGAAGATAATTTGTGGAATTCATGATTAAATGGAATCCAAACAAGCTCCATTACACAGTCTGTTAAAAATCAGTCACTGGGGTCTAGCAGTGACTTGAGAAAGTTAATTATGTTTCACCATCTTTGCTTATTGGCCTGAACAGAAATCAACTTCTTGCATTTGAAGAAGGTAAGCAAAAAGTCCTATTTCATTTAACCATGTTGGCCTAAATCTGACCTGCCAAAGTCAGATCTTGGTGGCATTCCT